GATCTCCGGGCTCGCAGACTTTATTTATACCCAAAGCTGCCATATTATTGGATCACCCCCGCCCAACGTAAACGTATCTTACGCGAAGTCTTACGACACGCCTTCTTATTTCGTGAAAGGTCCACTTGTATCCTCGCGATGACTTTATTAATAATTAGGTATGTGTCGGTGAAATCACAGACCTTTGGAGCTTTGTGTTTTGGCGAACGCTAAACTGAGATCGCCACGACAATCCGTGGTTTACTGTACGTGACTTATAGAATTGCCTAAAATCATTTAGTATTCGTAAACTGTTACTGTCAACTGGAGAGTAATTTCTGTTCACGCCTATCAGATTTGTCATCCAACTGGGATGTAATCTTGCAGTCGTAAGGGACCCCAATATATAAACGGACATGGCATTTTAAAGAATTTTATGAGAGTTTTTGGAAATTTTACTATGTATTTTACTAGTACAATGATAAAATTTCAAACAATTCTCATAAAATTCTCCGAAATGCCGTGTTGTCCCCACTCTTGCACGATTTTCGGGATAAAATTTAATTGATAATTTCTAGGTAGGCGCTGCAAATTGTCCTATTAGACTGCAAATATCCCCCGGTCAAGAAATCCTCGGTAAATGCCCGCGTCAGGATCGCGTTTTTTTGCGATTTCTTGCGAAAGACACGAGGAATGATCGATGTTGGAACGTGGCGGTAATTTGTCGAAATCGGTGGAAGGGCAAGACCGAAAATTGGGGTCAGACCAGTAGGAACGAATTCACGAAGGCGTAATATTTATGGGGCGGTCGAAGGAATTCAGTGTCTTCCGGAACTCTTTAACGCTTTAACGCCTCGCTTAGGATTCCGGTCGCGTTGATTTATTTGCCGACCGTCTCATCGTCATAAAGTAAGCGCGTAAGGAACGCGTCAGCGGAATGACAGTAAAATCGACGGTGGCTTTTGGGTGGCCTTCGGTTGCGTTTCGCAGATCGGAATACTAGCAATCGTTAACAAGATTCACTTGAAAAGTCGACACTTTCGTTGTTCTCACTTCTACGAGTCGTGCGTGCAGGCTGTTGCGGAAAGTAAAGTCCCGCCGATTTGTACTTACGTCACAGAGTGTTGTCCAATTATTCTTACGGGTGGGTCGATTACTACCCGTTGAATTAACGCGAGTGTTCGCAAGCACGCAGCAACGCGGAGGGAAGAAATCGCCGGAGCGCGAGTCAAAGTGGTAAAGGCTGTATTGCCTTCGTTGCACGTGGGGATAATCGCCTCCCCCAAGGAATGCACCGGCGCAAATCTGCATTCTATGGATGGCGCGAATGCCTGCGGCGGCGCGTGGTTCCCATATCTCACGGCATCCGGAAACTTTGCAATTAACACGAGAACTCGACGCGGCCGATGCGTAGGAGGCCGGTAATGAATTTGGTTCGGAGTGAACGTGATATATTCTCACGCGCGATGCGTGCGCGCGTAAAACGCTCGCGTAAGTAGAGCCCGAAGTCGCGAATCGACGGGATTTGCATGGGGAAGCGGTACCGTAACGTCGATGCGATATTATCGCCGCGAGTTTTATTGTAATCGTAAAAGGTGTCTACCGCGAGATTTATTGTGTTTACTGTGTAAACATTTGGGAATACTGGGATATGATGGATAGCAGCATCATATTCCGGCGAATCAATCATTCGTATATTTGTGCACGCAAGCTCCATATAAATAATGACAACCGCTCTAGATTGATGGAACGGCGTCATTTTTACGAAAAAGAAAACAAATACAACTTTTAATATCGCTTCGTTAACATCGCGTGTATATATCCTATCTCTCTAAACGATACTTTCCTTCATATATTTTATGAAAAAAGACAGCGCAATAAAGTTACTTATAACGTAAAGAATTATTTGACGCCATGATTAACCAATGTAGAAAATTGCTAGACGACGCTTGGCCGGCAAATTCTGATTAAAGAAATTTATTGCAAAAGATATCACCTCAGCCAGGGTTTGAACCTGGACCTTCCTACACTCTAGGCGCGCGTCTCACCAATTCGACCACATGTTACTTAGTTTAAATTATTTTTCGGCCAATTACTTTCACCGGATAACTTAGAATGATCAGATCTAAATATCTTGGTGGATACTTTTCCCAATATCTATTCGCGAAGCGCGGAATACGTGTTTGAAAATGATCTTGAATTTTACGTCCCATCCTTCCGCACCGCCGTTAATTACGGCCTGTTGAAACTCGATTTCGCGCGGAACTCGGAGGATGCTCGACCCCACGGGGTTAAGAAATTAGCCATAGCGGCACAGCGCGATACGGCGTGGCTCGCCGAAGCGAAATAACGATGGTAGCTCCCAGAAATGCGAAACACGGTGGGAATTCGCATAAGCGCGATCGACCACGAGCCACGAAGTCGTAACCTGCCGTGCTACAGGCTACACGGGACAACTATGCACGTGCGCAACAATGCACGTGTGTCGTGCTTGAGAAACAGAGAGAGAGAGAGAGAGAGAGAGAGTCATCGTTTGGTCCAGCATATCTCTCGGTAGTTAATGCCACTTTGGTCGTTAGCATCTATCTTCTCCGCGTCTCTTATCCTCCCTACCGTGCTCCAATCTGGACTCGCCCCGTTACACTCTGCTCCGATTCGCTCGAATCTGCGGCTTACCAAAATCTTCATCACCGATTCTCTAATTATAAAGTTCGGAGATCGCGATTGTGGGCGCAGAATGCAATGAACCTGCGACTCGTTGTGTTAATGTGTTTTGCAATGATAATCCGTGGTTTCTGCAACTTTTAGAAATTTTCTAAAAGACATGAAAATTAAAAAAAACCCCCTTCAGATTACTCGAATACACTACTGAGGTTTTTGGTGCACGAGGTATCCTAGCAATTCGTAAAACGCGGTCACGATTGCGGTATCGCGGAATGAAGTCGATTGTCCATAAAGAGCAGCGAAGTCGTTACGACATATTGGTGAGTTTGCGCCGCATTATTAAAGAGACCCAGGTCGAACGGAATCGGCAAACTTATTATTTCGCAGCGACCAATCCGCGTCCTGGTTTAATTCGATAAAACGGAATCGCTAATTAGCGCGAATTATTGTTATTACGCTGCAATAATCGCGAAACGCGTCGATTCGTAATCGCGATCAAGTACGAATTATTATATCCGTAGGTACAAGGTGCAAGCAAACAGTGCGGAATCTTATCAACGCGCTTTAATCGCGATGGTCTTATCCCTTAACGAGCATTCCTGATCGGTATCCCCGTTATCGATCCTGGAAATCACGTTCGGAACGTAACTGTTCTCGTGATTGCACATTTCGTTGCACAAAATAACGTTGGACAGAGGAATGGTAATACTAAAATACACGAGGGTCGCGTCTACACGAAAGCGCGTGTTGATTACAAAACGTGAAATTATTATTTCAATCCCGGAGCGCGATTCTAGACACACCGAGGTGGAACAAAGGAGGCGGGGCGAGAAAACAAGATAAATGCCAAAGTGGAATCCGCTAGAAAGTAAAATTATAAGTCGCGGGGACAGACGCTAATGACCACTTAACCAGCGTGAGGAAGAGGCATAAAGGATCAAATTCCGTGATAATTTCGTCTTGCTCGGCGCGTACGTGTGTGTTATTTACGTAAGAAACACAAGGCATAGATGCAATGCATCACTCCGAGCGGATTTTGCGGCGTCGCGAATAAGTTATTCCATGCCAAAGTACAATGTTGCCTGAAATCTCAGGCGACGATATTTCAATCCCGAAATAGTAATTTAAGTGTAGCTACACGCAAGGGACTTAATCATTACTCGTCAACGTCGGCATACAGCGGAAAACTCTCGCGACGTCGCGGATATCATTTTCATTCAACGCTGACTAATTCTAACAAGACGTGAGGGATCGAAGGGGAAAGAGGAAGCTGCCAATTTAACATCCGTTGACGATTCGGGCGAACTCAGTTACGAGTTGAGCAGCAGCGCTAAAGTAACAAATCCTACCGCGGATGAGCCATTACGCTCAAAGGCAGTGCGCCAGGCATTTCGCCGGCACATTGGCTGCTTTGAATTCAGAATTGCACGGCCATGCGGCCTCCGCGTTTTTGTTCTTCCTCTTTTGCAGGCAATTTATGCAATCTGGCCCGCGTCGCGCGCGTATTTATAACCGTCGGCCCTTTGTGTGTTAATTTGTATTCGTGTTTCTTGCGCGGAGGAACCGTGAATCTTCCCCGATCTTTCTGATCGATCCGCCAACGCACCTTCGCGACTGCATTTCTCGATTTACAGGAAAGCCAGTAGTCGGGGAAACGTCAACGATGCGAAATTTAAAGCATGTAAGTGCAATTGTGTTGGGTAAAATTTGATTCGGAAGTTTATCTCGTTAAAAAGTATGTGTAAAAGGAAAGTTTAATACGCATATATTTGAGAAACCTCTCTGAAACTTTTTCCGTAAAAATTAAAATATTACAATGGCACATCCAATGCGTAGGATTCGTACTTTTATGTTAATTGTTCGTTATTCCTATACAGTACTTTGTATGTGTCAATAAAACAATAATGCCAATGAAAATAGAATTGAATTAATTTCTTCTTCAACACCCTATTGTAAAAGGCCATTTCGTCTTTAAAAGGAGACCAACGTGCGTCTAACATGCGGGGAAAAATAACGCAGCGGGAGAAAAGGTCCGTGCTGCGAGCTGGGGCGGAGTGATCGACTTTGATCTCCGCGGTTTTTATAGAAGCATCTCGCGTCGCGACTTGAGCTTTCGCGGCTGTCGCGGAAATCCCACAGAAATTGGAGCGAGATGCTCGCCGAGAGGCGGGAGGATCTCACGAGCGTGAGCCCGGCCTCTTCGCGCCGCGTCGCGTCGCGTCTCGCTGAGGTGCAACGCACTCGTTCGAATAAAAGTTCCACGAAGAGGAGGCCGCTCGCTCGAATTGGCCCCTAATTTCTTCCCCATAACTAAGGAGGCGCACTTTATGACCGGCGGCTCCCTTTTTCTGTTGCAGCGTTGAAGGTGAAGCTCATGCTGAGGCGACCCATCAATCAGCTGGTTGCGCAAGGCATCATGCCACGTAAGTGTTGATCCGCTTGTTTATTACACCGTTTATACACTTTTTTTTTTCCTCTCTGCGCCGCGGAAAATTGCGCCTGTACGACTCGGGGCTGTTAAGCTCTCGCCGAGATGTTGCGATGGTTGCGATCAACGTAACTTTCGTTACGGTCGTTATTGAACGTCATTGCCGGCCGGTCCCTGCGGTCTTAAAAACGTCCTCGCCAACACGTGAGATCGATTGATACACGCACGAGTTAATTATTGCGTCGTTCTCGAGGATCGTAAGAAGTATAGGACCGATATCTAGGACACTTCTAGATTGTGGCAAATTGCTTCGCAACGATTAAACAAATGGACAATTAACGACCGTGTTTTTGTGAGTTTAGAATTAAACGAGACGAATTGGGTCGCCTTCAGGTCGGTCAATTAGTCCTTCAATAATTAAATAAGTCAGTTCCAGAAGGGACACAAATCGACAAGATAAATACAACTTTGTTCTCGGAAATTATTATAGTGAAATATATATATTTTTTAATGTAAATCTACACGGAGAGAATTTTCTCGGAAAATTTATCCTGAAAATTATGTAATCGTGGAACAACACGGCATTTCGTAGAACTTTATGAGAGTTTCTTGAAATTTTACCAATAAAATGTATGGCAAAATTTCAGAAAACTCGTAAAGTTCATCAAAATGTTGTCCTACGATTAAACGATTTTCAGGGTAAATTTTAAGAGAAAATTCCCTCCGTGTCCGCTTGATTAAAACAATTCATCAATTATCATTCGAGTAGTCAAAGAATGTCCGGTGTTTTACTTGCATTTACATTCGTAAAAGACGTAACAGTAAGCAATCAAGTTTCTTTCGTTCTCTCGCGCCCCCTTGTGCGATAAACGATCCGATCATTCCTCCTCGCCGTATCGTGGGCTAAAACGAATCCAAACTCTCGCGGCATGCGAGGTAGATGAAGGAGCAAAAGTAAAAACATTCGCGCGGCGTATGGCGTGCTCGCTCCCGAAATCCCCGAAGCGATCAGCAGGCACGAGAGTCTAGTTGCTCGGTAGATTTACGACGGGTACCAAATGTTTACCAGAACGAGAGCACGAGCATCCAGTAATTATTTGGGTCACACCCTGAAATATTACTCTTGTTACCGTGCGCGCGCGCGCCGGCGCGTTTATGGCGCCCGGTATACACCGTCGGGCCGATGAAAATACACGGTTTGATAGGCCTCGTTCGACTTTACACGCGGTACCGCGTGTGCGCCATGCGCACGTGCATTTCCATACCGCGCGCGGTCCATTCATCTGCGACGTTTCGGGGCTTTAAAGCGTGCCCTCCCTCCCCATATACACATCCACGCGACTGAAAATAATAGCCGTTTTCGCAGAAGCCGGCCGATTACGTTATAAGCCCATTACTTTCGGAAATTGACAGGTTTCCGCGAAAATTTATCCCGTCGCTATTTCTTTTTTTTTTCATTACTAGATGAAAGTCCGTTCTTATGGGGCGAACTCCTGATATGCGATAGCAGGGTTTTTGCTAAATTAATAGGCTGTTGGTTTCATTGTAAATTTATTGCCCTCGGAAATCTGTTTCGTGGAAAATGCATTGTTAGAACGTGTAGCCGTGAATAAAGATTTGTGATTAAATTTTGATGTTGAAAACCTATCTCATTTTAGAAGCCTAATAGAGGACTTCTCTCTATTATTCGCACCAGTTGCGGTACGAAAGATATTACTTTATTTCATATTTATGAGATTACAGGTGCGAATGAAAATTTAATTGGTATTTTTCATTTGATTAAGTACGGATGTCGAAAAAGCGTAAAATGCATTGCTAGATCGTGTAATCGTTGTGAATAAAAATTTGTGATTAAATTTTGACGTTGAAAACCTGCTAGCTCATATTAGAAGTCTAATAGAGGACTTTTCTCTATTATTCGTACCATTTGCGATACGAAAGATATTACTTTAGTTCACACTTATGAGATTACACGTGCGAATGAAAATTTAATTGGCATTTTTAATTTTGTCACGTACGGATGTTGGAAACGCGGAAAATGATTCACTGAAAAGTTGAAACGTAGAAAGCCGTTTGTTACAAATGCTGCAAATGCGGGATTAAACGCGAGTTTGTAGTAGTTAATACTTTATGTTTACGACAGTGTTAAATATCCGCTGAATTTGTTGCTTCTCTACGGCGAGACCTGCGCTAAATCGTACATCATTACGCGTGTCGCCGCCCCCGCGAATACAACGCGGGAAAATATGAGTAGACTTGCACGTTTTTCTCCCGAGATGTCAATCGTCCTGTAGAAACCACAGGTCGCTCGTTTTACTTCCCGAATCTCGAGTCTACTCCAACGGCGACGTTTATTGCGGCAAATCAACGACGTCCCTCGGACAATTCGTCTGACAGTGAGAGCAGCGGCTCGATCATGAATCTTTTCCTCCAGCGTGAACTCGTGAAAAGTGAAAAATTTTCATCGACCAATTCAACATTGGTCAATGCAATTTTTCACTATTCACGAGTTCACGCTGGAGAAAAAGATTCATGATCGAACCCCAGAATAGGCGATGTCGCGCGGACATCGGCCGTCTTGGAGCTCATCTGACATCTCGCTCTCGAAAGGAATCGAAGTAACGGGGATTTCGAAAAGGAGGAGGCGAAAATGCGCGGCAACGCGCCGGAGAGCAAAGCGAGAAACGTATACGCGCTGCGAAAAGATGTGAATTATAGATATCGGTCCATAAGCGATCCTCCAGCATCCCGCAAATTTAGCGCGGTCCACGATCCGCCGCTCCTCTCTTTATTTGCCCCCCCCCCCCGCACTTTCGCAAAAGTACCGTAAATTCTCTATAACGAGCCGAAGAGTAATACGCGAGGGAACGCGTTGCATCTTTCGCGCGGCCGCGACGACGCGCGCAAGGGAATTACATTCGCGATTAATCTCGAAGACGCTAAAAAAAACCCGCGACGGGGTAAGAGCCGCCGGCGCGTTTGCCCCGTTCCACGACTGGCTGGATGGAAACTTACGGCACGCGGTTAAAATACCAGGGCGCCCGTGTATTTTCACATTTCCGCCGCCGACATTCGGCGACACGGCCCGTGCGTGCCTTTTATTCCGCGTAATGACGACGTCCGCGCGTCTGCATGCGTCGCGGCGGCATCCGCGTCCGGAAATAGTGATAGGGACACGCGCTTCGGGGATCGTTTATCCACCGATTTAACGGCGTTGGGGAATGCGGGTACCAGGGGACACGTCACGTTGACACCAAAACGGCACCTCTGAGGATCTTCGCTCCTCGTGTCCACACGTCACGCACTAAGAAATTCGGCGTTCGCTGCTCTTTTCTCCTTCTTTAACGGAAAGTCCAGCTGGCCGACAGACAGAAACGTGCGATCTAAAATTACGAATAGAGGAGAGCAGTGAATTTCTTCCGCGATCACTGACTGCTCGTCCCGCTCGAAGCAGCTTTTGCCGCGACGTTTCAGCGACGATGTCGCGAAATTGATCTCGAACAAGCGAGTAAAATGCGATATACGAGAGACTAATGTTTTTCCTTGAACGCACAGCGTTGAAGACGCCACCGGCGTTTCACGAGCAACGGAAGCAGCTGGAGCGGGCGAAGACGGGCGATCTGCTGAAGGCGAAGATTCAGCAGAGACCAGGCAGGGATGAGCTGGTCCGGCAGCACATCCTCGAGGATGTGGGTCACGTGGATCCGAGCCTGGCTGAGCGGCAGCGAATGCTGAAGAAGGCCAGGCTAGCCGATCAGCTCAACGACCAGCTCAGTCATCGACCTGGACCGCTCGAGCTCATCCAGAAGAACATCCTTCATACTGAAGAGCCCATCGAGAGGGCGGTCAAAGGTATCTCTCGCGATAGCCTCTGCTAAAATAAAACAATACATAAATGTATCACGTACATTGTGCGTCAAAAGACGCGATATGTGCAATCAGCAAGTTTTGCTTATTTTGTTCAATTCACTAACGCGACATTGCGTCAAATTAAATTTCTACAATCTTGACGCCTTCCGATATACCCTGCGCGCGGCATCAATGCGACTTTCCATGACCAAATTCCTCCCCCAGAGGGTCACATTCCCTTCAAGGCCACCTGCGAGGGACAGGTGACGAAACCCCAGCACCCGGATCACTACATCACTTTCGAGGATGACTCCCAGAGCTCGGAGGGTGCGCCTTCACCGCAGTTGGAGTCGCGACCATCGGACGTTCTGGAGACCGCGGCGGCCTCCGCGGGCATCGTCACGGTCTCCCTCAGCATACCGACAACCGGCGGTGCCGTTGTGGTCTCCTCGACATCCCCCGTCTTCCAGCAGACGGAACCGACGATACAGACGTTCGCCGAACTGTGCAATACCGTTGTAGGCACGCAGCAGCAGCAGCAGCAGCAGCAGCAAAGTCAGCAGCAAGCTCAACAGGGCCAGCAACACACATCTACGCAGGTAAGTCTGGGCGCGGGAGCAGCAATCAACGCGCGCACTAATCCCTTCATTGCGTTATACGTCGACGTGACACGTGCCATCGAGCTCCGTCAGTAGTTTTTCGAGCGTGACCTCTGGACGTCTAAGCGGCAATGAAAGCGCTAATCGAACGCGACGAAGATTAATCGCGACTCCCAATTGACGATTCCGGTATTTAGGAGGTCGCCGGCAATTATGACGATGGCGATCGATACCGCGTGTCGGTCGCATTGTGGGAGCTTGAAAAACCATCGGGCGATCTCTCCCTCTTTTAATAGGCGAGCCAAACGACGAATGGCCCGTCGACGACCCTCCTACCATTGGCGCCGGCGCCGAGCCCGATGTCCCTGGGCTCAACGACGTCCAGTCTGAGCCCCCTGTCCAACATCTCGATAGCGTCGCCCCCGGCGCCGCCGCCCGCGGCGATCACCCCGCGGCCGCAACCGAGCCCGATAGCCGCCGCCGCCGCTACCACGTGCCAAAGGAGCGACGCCCCCGGGAAGGACAAGAACAGAAAGAAGTCGAAGACCAAGAGCCAGCCCAAGACCCGCACGATCAAGTTCCACGAGTATAAAGTAAGTTCGCTTTCAATTTATTGTGTCAACATTTCGGCGACGAGAACAACTGTGTCATTCTGTGTGACTTGCACGAAGGGGAGCGCAGCGCGAGTGCGTGCGTCGTTCTTTCTTTTTTTTTCTTTTATCGCCGAGCTGTGCAGAATGATACTGTTGGCCTTTCTCGTCGGGAGGTATCGATTTTATTACGCGCGGCATTATGTCTTCACAGAACCGCCATTCAATTCGCGATTGGAAGTTATTAAAGAGTATTCTTGAAGCATCGAGGCTCTGACATCACTGTTCGCGCTCATCGACTCATCGCGCGGATCTTAAAACATAATAGATATTGCGTAACGGACGGTCCGATTGTTGCTCGGGAATTAGCACACTACTTTCATAGTTTAAAAAGCAGGCGGTTTGCAGTAACACAGCATTGAAGCAGAAGCAACAATGGTAATTTCAATTCACTTCTACATCACGTGCGTTGAAACACTGGTCTGAGAATTAGCGGATATTACTACTGAAATGGAGATTCGTGATGCTTCGCTCCCCCTTCTTTCCTTCTTCTTCCTCGTGTGTCAGTTGTATTCTATCCCAGTTCTCGTTCTGGTGCTTTGTGCATGTGGTTTTACCTCATCTTCGGTAGGCTGCTAACCTTGCTTAAGGAAACCTCCCATCTGGAATGGCTATACCCACCCCTGAAGGGGTACGTGCGGCAAGATAGTCTCGGTGGTTGCCACCTCCCTTCGGCAAATGCCGAGAGAAACCAGCGGTGTCCGTGGATTTGAACTCGGATCTTTTCGTTCATCTGTTTACTAAGCAGCGCACATTTCTCTGCGCCACACTCGCCATCTTCTTTCCTCTTCATATAATTGCTATTTTAATTTTAGTGGATAAAAATTGTTCAGTTCGATTACCCTCCGGCGTAAACTCGGGACAGACAAGTTTGCGGGAAGTGTGCTCTGCTTGGTCGCAGAGCAGCGAGTTGAATAAACGGGGACGAAGCGGGAGGTGCAAAGTAGTTTTCGATCCGGGGTACGACCGGAGTGTACACAGAGGCGCGCGATAATTATCGTGTACCCGGGGGACCGCCGGGTAGCACTACAAACTAGTTCTCCCCGGTGGAGTGCGCGCCGGTCAGTGTGGGCTAACGGAGGGCCGCATTTCGGCGTGGCAACCAGCGTGGCAAAAAGACGGGACGAGCAAAAAGGACGAGAGCAAGAAGAAGTGGCAGTGGAGGAGGAGGAAGAGGACGGAGTAAAAACGAGCGCGGACCGTGAATCTCGGCTCCCGTGGGCCGGCGAAGAGGCGCAGAGTGCCCCGGCCTCGGGGCCCGAAGGAGTCTCGCAGGCAGATCGTATCGGGTGATTAACTCTCGCGATCTCCCCAGAAAGAGAGAGGCAGAGGAGGGAGGAGAGACTCGGGGCCCTACCTCGTTAGCTCTGAGTAATTCGAGCGCTAATTGCACCTAAGAGCGAGGAAGCCAGGGAGCGGGGTCTTCTCCCTCGGGCACCGATAGACACCGAGCCGAATCCGGGCCGCCGGGGCCCCGAACGGCGCGCGGGTCCAAAACACCCGAGATATAGCGTGGTCGGTGTGAAAGCGAGCCGGGAATGGGCGTGCAAATGAGGGCGCAGAAAACATCTTGATGTATCATTTATCATTCGGTCGGGCCTGAACCGGAGCTACGTCGCCTACCTACCTCGGTCTCCTCTGCACCGATGCACCGGGCGTCAGACAGCGATGTCAGGAAATATATCTCAGATCTGTTCACGGGTCGCGAGCGAGATTACGTAAAGCGAAATGCGCGAGAAGGCGGTGTTTATTCGGGTTGCGAGTCGCGTATGCGAACGAGTCGTCGGGCGCGCGTTGCACGCCTTTTACATTTTCCTCACGCGACGATTCTTCTAGGGACCGCCAAACGCGCAGAAAACGCCGGTGTCTAGTACTTCCGGTCTCGGCGCCACGCAGCCCGGTGAGACCAGCTACGAGCTGCTCCTGCAGCAGCAACAGCTGTTTCTCCAATGGCAGCTCGAGTGGCAGCACAAGGTAATGATTAGTAGTCAAGTTTTTCGCAAGCGAAAAGAATGACATTGTATCCCACGATTTCAAATGGAACACAGTTTTGTCTTTAATTGTTTTTTTAAAAAAAAGCGTATACCATTTTTCCCAAAGACATACTTTTAAAATATAAAGAAAGATTTAAAAAGTCTTTTCTCCTCTTCACTCAGTATCCACAAATCATCTTGCCGGCCGCGCAGAAACCGCTATCGCTCACAAGTAGCGGCGCGAGCGATGCTGGTAGCGTGAGCGGAAGTAGCGCAAACGTCGCCAGCCCGGCTCCGTCGAATTCTTCGAACAATCCCTCGGAACAGCCCCCGTTGAGGCCTTTGGGCAAACTGGAAGATATGAAAGGTACGAGTATTGCAGTCGCATGGAAGAAGATCCGCCGCGAGAGGAAAAGTAATTTCCCGTATTTGCGTTTGCAGTGAGCGACCTCAAGGTGGAACTGAAACGACGGAATCTGCCGGTGTCGGGCTCGAAGCCGCAGCTGATCGAGCGACTGAAGCCCTTCACGGAGTCGTCCAGTAACAACACGACTTCCAATTCTAATGGACCACACGTGACGCACATGGGCCACATTTTGATGGATACGCCTGGCCCGATGGCGACGGATGACTCTAGCTCTCAGGCCAGGAGCCCGAGCGCTATCGTGAAGGAAGAGCCGAACAGCCCGCGAACGGCCTCGCCCCACAGTAGCGAGCACGACGATCCGTTGAGTCCGCCAGGTAAAACGTCATCTCAATATCTCGTTGTTAGATTGAGCGCCACACAAGTGTTTGGTGTGCGCGCGCGAGAGGCGATGAGACTGTCGAGCGAGGTTGTTGATTCGAGAGGCAGCACGCGTGGGTGTTTTTATGACACAGTTCGTGTTTCAGGAGATGATATCATCAAGGTGCAGAGGAAACGAATAGAGGAGTTACAACGCGAGCTATACAAGTCGCAGCAACAGCTCCAGCAGATCCGCCAGACTCAGCCGGCCACGGTGCGCGCTGAGAAGCTGGCACTCCAGCAACATTTACACAATAAAATGCAACAGCAACAACTGGCTCTGCACTTGCAGCAGCTTCAGCACTTACAGCAGCAGCAGCAGCAGCAGCAGCAACAGCAACAGAATCAACAGCAGACACAACAACAAGCTACAATTCAACAATTCAATGCGAAGGCGAGTCTCGCGGCCTTCCTGCAAGCGCAACCAAACAATACGACCGCCATACTCGACTCCGCGACTCTGACCGCGATTAACAACAAGAAAAATCAGTCCAAGAACAGTACTACTGTTCAAATACCCACGGCTATCGTTCTGAATCTAGCGAAGCCGGCCAAATTGAATGGCTCGCTGCTCGGTGCTCTTGTGGCGCAGGCGCAGGTTCAACAGCAGCAACAGCAGCAGCAACAGCAAACAACTGTTACTACTACTGAAGACATCAAACCGCCGCCACCGCAGTATGATGAAGCTGCTAAGTTGCTGAAGGTGTGATTATTTTTCATTATAACTCTAGCAAGAGCTGAATTATAATTTTAAAATGGGTTTTGCGAAATTATAATTCCATAATCACTGTTGTAATGTTACAGCTCAATTTCTTCTAATGCGTTATGAACTGTCTTTTCACTTGGCGAGTTTTACTTGCAGGTCAAGATCGAACCGGTTCAGAAGAGTCACATAAAGAGTCAAGTAGTTGATGACGTACTGGAGATCCTCATCAAGAATGGTGAACTACCGCCAAGTGCCGCACAAGATCCAGCCACTCCGACAACTCCAAATCGCCAACTACAGCAGAATCTGGTCTTTACCGCGCCGGCAGACAGTCCAACTCAGTCGCTAGTCTTCACGGCCGCCAGTCCGATGAGTCCGATCAGTCCGATACCAATGGAGGTGTCTCAAAGCGGTTGTTCGAGCCCATCAACGCCAGCACCACCGCCACCGCCGCCATTGCCGTTAACTGCGTTCTCCATTCAGTTACCCCACTCGATGCAACAGCTACAACAGTCGGATGAAATTACCCCCTTCAGCACGGATCTCCTCACATCCGAGGCCGAGCTGGATGCCGCGATGTTGCTGAGTCCTCAATCGATGCAACAAGCTTCTCCAGACCCGCAACCGCCACAAGAAGTGACTTCTTCGGACAATGCAAATTTGGATCTTAAAGTACGTTTTCTTAGGAGAAAAATTTATTAAGAATAGGAAAACTTTCTTAAGCCAACGTTAACCAAAATAAACCGTGATGTAATCAATAAAATCGCAGGTGGAATGAGCGCAATTATTCAAATTAATATTTTTCAGGAATTAGGGTTGGACCTGGAAACGTTGGACCCAATGGACTTCGGTCAACTAGACTGCGACATGCCGATGGATATGGACGATCCCGATTGGCTGGATTCCCTGATGCCGCAATCGCCACCACCTTCCGCGATACTGTCATCGTCCAATCATCAATGCACCCCTCCGTCAATCAGCCTCTCATCCACCACGGATATCTACGACCCGCTATTAGGCAGCAGTCAGTACTCATTTGATCTCTTTAACATGGAGGACTCTGACTTCAAGATGTCGTCCGATTTATCTCCGATGACCTGGGACAAGGTAGACTTTGCGACCTAGCCCGAGGTATTTTCTTGCAATCCGGCGTTATGTACTTAATCCTCGGCAGGTAATCAAAAATATAATTCGACAAAGAAACGCGGACAGTAAGACCATCGCCACTTGGTCGGGTTTGTCCAATGCATTTTATACAAGACGTTTCGTGACATCCTTGCACCTGATGCATCTTGTAATTGATATTATATCAAATGTGTACTTATACGCGCGCGCCAAGACGACAATGTTGGTTCGGAAAGCATACTATGTATTTAGAACATACATAATCGCGCACGATCGTTATCGTAATTAACAATTAAGAACGAAAAGGCTGTCGAATTATGGACCAGTGACACGCGTGTCATCTTTCGGTCTTCTTTGATCAATGAACGCTAACACATGTCATTCTTTTAATCGATGTAATCGATTGTTGCATCCAAAAAGTAATATGCATCTCGTCGTACGAATTCAAATCCGAAATAGCGATGTGTCGCGTGAGGACGCGGCCGTGTATAAAACGGATAAGGACTTGTAATTCCGGGACCGAAATCAACTTTCAAAATTCTTCAAAGAGTCAGCTTACGACAGGTTTTATAAGCTAGTTTTTACTGTCCAGTCGTGTGTTGCTTGAGTTTTAATAACTGTGAGAAATAGCGTGTGTGACAAAACGAGGAGACGAGAAGCATTGCGTATATGATCCTCCCCCCCCCCCCCCGGATAATCCCCTCTTTCCAAATGCCTGCCCCTCTCCCTCAAACGTAATTAATCGTAACATAACTGCATAATTATACTCACAGAACCTAATATAACGATAATTACTGTAAAGATATACATACGTACACATATGTAAAATATACTTCTATACGTGCGCCTGACGTCTGCGAGTCGTGTAACGTGTTCGTATACGCGAGTTCGGGGGCCTTCCAGCGCAGCTATACATATTTTCTAAGCCACAGAGCATGTGATGTTAGGAATTATTGCGTATTTTAATCGATAATCATTATAATAGCGGTGAAATTCGTAGGAACGGCTGCGCGCGCGAGCGAGTTGCACGATTGCCACCGGGATCGGTTGCCACGGGCGCGGTCCTTCGATCTTTCCACCGCGACTAGTAATCTTTTTGTTGTTTTGTGACATTCCATGTTTCCAAACTGTACGAACCAGGGGAGATCGAGGCCACGCGTGTCGCGAGCCGCAACCATTACGCATATCGCACGATCGGGCGATCGCTACGCGAATCGAAGGATCCCGTCTCGGAACGTCGTGCCAGGTTGCGAGAGTTGCCTTGCGCGTTGACACGCGTCGCCCTGCACTGTTCCGAGACGCTCCTCGGAGACCAAGCGGCTTCGGACTTTGACGTAACGACGAAGGACCGCGCTACCGAGCTCGGTAACAAGAGCAAAAGTGTGTGTGTGCGTGTTCGTGTATGTATGTATGTATGCAAGTTCTTAAGAGTATCTTAAAGAGCGCGAATGTTTGCCTGAGAAAGGGAGCCTCAAATTAATTGTGACGAAATTAAATTATTACATTATGATAGTAAATTTCTGATAAATGGATCTCTGGATAACAGTTTCGCAAAAATACTTTCAGAAGATACATAAAAAGTATCTGAACATCATGTATATTTCTAATTTTCAAATACTTTTTATCGAAAAATTTGTATTAGTTGCAATTCTTTTTAATCGATGTTCCTGAAATGTAACAAGTAATGCACGGAAGTAAGAATACCGTTTGTTGAAATTACAAGCAATCTAAGGTTCCCTTATATGAACGCGTGTGATACGTGTCAACGTTTATGAACAGCGATGGTGCTAATCGAAACCCCAATACGCAGCGACCCGTTTTTCTATAGAAACGTCGCGGTTACTTTGATTTCTTTCTCTTTTTTTCCCCATCTGTAACAGTGCCGCAACGTTCCGAATTTTCCTCGCAACCGACGTGCCTCGAAGTGTTGTTTTTCCTTGCGAGCTTTTTAGTTCCGCGCGGAACTGGCGTTACGTAGTACGAATAGAGAAGAAGAGAGAATGCTGTATTTAAGTTGTTAGTTTTTCGAATGAGAGAAAATTAGCGAGGTGTGCGTTCCCACAGTCTCATTAGCGAAACGGTACATTGGTCCACGATCGTCATTTCCTCTCCCGCACTCACCAGAGAAAGAGCAAAGGAAAAAAAAAGATGCAACATTCCAAATGTATTCACGCTTCATGGAGAATTCTAAAGACCTCGAGGTACCGCCATGTTCCGTGTGCGCGAGAGCCCTGACAGAGGAGACGAGGAGCGCGAACGTGCGCCGCAACGCATCGCCGAATCCGTCGAGATACGCGCGGAAATAATTGAGCCAGAATTTAATGCATTTAATTAGAGGAACCGGTTCGCCTTCCTGTCTTCTTCCCTTCCCTGCTCCGGCTCTCCAGAGCCGGTTGCAGAAACATTCTTTTTTTTTATCAAGCTGATAAGCATCGATTCCGCAAATCTTATGAATTTTATAATTTATTTGCCAAGTGCCAAGGGAGTCGATCGCTTATATATATTCTGTAAGTTGCACGGCCGAGGGTATATCGTTTTATTCGTAGCAAGCGGCTTGTGAGCTATTAACCGATTTGCAGCGTTACTGATTCATCGTAAAGGCCGCTTATTTAAATCGCGTTTTGCTAATCTGCATTTAAGATATCGCTTCCACATTGCTTTCTCCCGCCGTACGAAGCTTTTACAAACAACAAATGCGGCCTGCAAACTCGTCTGTCATGACAAACGGAACATGGCATCGGGGTGAGAAACGAAGGTGCCAAAAAGAAATATATCCCTCGCTACAAGCATCATGTAGAAAATCGTCACACTCGTCACCATCCGTTGCCTCATGACAATAAGGATTTTATTGTTCTCTGTAAAATATTGTATATATATATGTGTAAAATATAATGAAAGAGTTTGTGTGTGTTTTGTAGTAGCGAGCTTGACATAATGAATTCATTTAGGGTAATTAAAAGGCGATTATTCATTAAAAAGATCATGTTACACCATAAAACGCCGGCGTGTCCCTATCTTATCGAACTCGTGTCGCAACGTGCACCATGCTCGAAGACGTTGCAATCGCGTAATTATATTAAGTTCGAGTCGTTCATCATGATTCTGCCGATGATTGATCGATCTGTCAGGCTGTGCGAATCTGGTAGTCTGTTGTGTTTGGTGCATCTGCAGTGTATGTGCGTATACGTATGAGCAGTAAGTCTTTACGACTCGCGGGTGCGAATCAGGACGAAGTAAAAGCAGCCTAAGCAAGCTGTGAAATATGTAAACCGATCGCATCTATACATGTACACATAGCTTCGTCGAGTATATAACAAACCGCGCAATTGTATCGAGAGGAACACGATAAAGAGATGCAGTAGCATCGCACACAAACACACACACACACACACACACATACACACGCACACACGTACACACATACACACATTTGGTATGAACCTTGTGTGCGCGCGCGCGCGTGAGGAGTGGTACATATAAGTTTTTTGTTATTAAGTATCATTGAATTTATTGTAATGAAATACTCTTAAGTAACGATCACGTAATTATTGCTAGAGAGAGTGTTATTTATTTTTATTTGTTGCAAATTTATCGATTGCCTTCCATTTGAGTAAAATAAATAAATATAAAGTTATTCGCTAAAGCATCATTTTAATCCTCATCTCATTCTCTCGTTCTCTTTCTCGAAATTCTCGGTATTTTAGATAGAGCAGTGTGCTTGCCAATTACATTCTCCTACTCTGTCAATTTTCGAAAGTTTGGATTTAAGGCCACGTTATAACATTCAATTTTTTGTCCGTGATATCTGTGCGTTAAGAAAGAAATTTATGCAACTGATTAGTTGTATTTGCAAAATCTAAACCTGTGTTGAAAATATACGGTAAGCTATAACATGCCGATGTCGATATTTAAAGAGAGAATCATGAAAAATTTTATATAAACGTAAACTCGATAATTACTTTCGATAATTTCAATCACAAATAATGTTATAAAATATTCTTACCGCGCTAGTTATTGGTATGACGTTGCAAACTTTTACAAAAACCTGTAGGAATATTCTTTATAAAATATTCTGCAAATATATACAGTCATCGTCTCCAAAGGGACATCGAGACGTAATAATATAAAATGAATCCTTGACTGGAGAATTCAATTACGATGTTACATTGTATTCAACATGATTAATCTGCTGATTGATAGAGGGATTGATGTTTTGCATGGGCAATGTATCCGATAGCGATGATAAGGAGGACACTTTCGAGGATGTCCTAGTATGATTGCTACTCGTTGAAATGTCCCAAAATGGCCCGCGAGTCTGCCAACCGAATCGTTTTATCAACAGCCGCACGATTTTCTTTTTGCACACGTATATAGCAAAAATAATGACGCCTTGCAAGATGTCTATCGTGTAGCTAACATCCCAGATGATCTGCGGTATGGAATTGTTGGCACTGATCAACCACAATATTATACCCATACTCCAGCTTATTCCCATTACAGTGAACAGCTTCAGATACATACCAAACCTGCGGGCAAACACATTTCTGTATCATTTACGGTTACGATCATTACGGCGAATTTGTGAAAAATGCTCTTAAAAGTCATTTTTACATATTTTTAATAAAAAGAACGAGCAGTCTTAAACACACCAATATTAAAAAATAACGGGCTGATTTTTCACAAAGAATTTTATCGCTTTTCTGAGGAAAGATTTAAGGAAAAACTTTGGCATTTTTTAACTTAACAAATCATAATAAAAACCTATTAAACAAAGAAGTCTAAAAGCAATTATGTTTGTTGAAAATGGAAACTAATCGACATTGTGCACAACTATTGGCAAACGAATATATCTGCTATTTGAGAAATTTTATATTTTTACTTACACAGGTAATGATATTTTTACTAATACAAAACGCGATTACTTCATTTTACGTAAGAACAAGAGGTGCCGATAAATCACCTATAAATGCATCATTTATCGCGAATAAATTGAATGACATTAATTCTTTTGATTGATGAATCGTACAGACTTGCGCTTTTTTCTATCGTAGCGCCGGCTCTCCGAGTCTCTCAGCTGATGGGCGGTATGTTTATTATGGTACAGAATCGCTAGTGCCGTGCCGAAGAAGAAGCAAACGTTGCTAATAAAAGCGGCGCCCGTGGGTCCGTAAAAATACACCGTTAGCGCTTTTTCCCCTGAAACGAGAAACGAAGGGAATAGAAATCTTCGTTCTGACAAACGTAGATGTATATTTTTAATTAAAAGCTGTTAAAAATCAAGACTTCAAGATGCTTCACTACTACTAGCAAAGTTCTCGTTGTCACTTACCGAGCCAGAATTTTTTCTCGCACATTTCCGGTCGAATCAGGTTTTTCGGTATGCCAGGAGCGTAATCCATGATGACACAGGCAACGTTCAGGCCGAAGGTGACTCCCCATGCATAGATAGAGTACATCAGGAATTTCCTTTTCTTTTTCCTTATGTTTGGTTGGTGCAAATTGAGCTTTCTGTGAAGAATGCGACTTATATTTAGCCAATGACATATGCGTTTGCAAATAAAAATGTCGTATTTTTATAGATGACACCTTTTGGAGTAATAATCGCTTAGACTTTTACAATACACGTACATATATGTTTTTCTCACAAAGTTTTCAGTCTAATTTTATTATTTGAATTTTTTCAAGCCATTTGACAAGTATAAAAATAACTTTCTGCATTTCAGTAAAATTGAATAGGATATTACATAAAATATAAATATAAAATATCACATAAAAGGATTTTTCATAAAGTATTGTATGAAATATTTTTGACAGCTTACTTGAATGTCCACCAAATGTCGAAGCATGTTGCGTTCAACCAAAAGCAACCCGACAACATTGAGAAATTAAAAATGTAGGCTGAAAGAGAATGAGAGGATTAAATAATAAATCAAACGTGTTAGAATTTTATTCATCAGAATGAATAAATAAAATTCATTGGTTTCATGCCTCTCTATGAGATTTTCTCAATCTCCCTCTACTGCAAAAACAAGTCCTAAATAAATCGAATTACATAATATTTTGCCCCGCAGTAGCTTCCACGACCCTTAAATTTAAAAAATTCAAAAAGTTACACAACCAAGATTTAAATGCCATCTATATTTATACTTTCACAGATTGTATCGAGTTATCAGAAAGAAATTAACGCGCGGGTAGCTTAGTACTTATAAAAATATAAGTTATATTGCTACATTATTAAATAGTTTACGTATGCTGTACCCAGTGGGATGCAGTATTTCCATTCAGATAATTCAGGGACTTCTTGAATGCAAAATATAAGCAGGTTGGAGATGAATAACGAGGCGACGTGTACACGCAACGTGCAGCTGTGTATGTTTTGGACCTCCGGCAATATGGAATATACCACAAACGTCAACAGCAGGAACGGCAAGGACACTAGAAGGCATACGGATATATATGTTGGAAAGCCAATCTGTTCCAGGCAAACGACCGCGTCGTAAATGTCCCGATCCAAGACGCCGAGGCAGTAAGACGTCGATGAGACGATCTTGTCGGAATCTTGATACAACGAACCGTTGACGAAAAACAAGTACTCCTTGGGATTAAGAACGCGATGTGCGCTTCCTTGTAGAACGCACGGATCGCGGACGGTCAGTTGAAATAATTCGTTCAGCCTCTTACTCCCGGAATCGTTCCGGTAAACGGCTGGAAAATAGTAATTGCCTCGTCCAGCGATACACTTCTTCTCCGACGTTAGACGATCGCCGTAAGGGCAGCAGAGCTGAATGCAGGTCTCGTTGTCACATGCTTCGTATGAAGTAATGTTGACCCTAGTATCGTTATAGTCATCTGTATTGAAATTTCTGTGTAACTCGTACGACATGGAATTATTCTCTCTGTCGGTCTTTGTGACATTCTCGTTAAACGCCTGCAACATGGAATAGATCTCGTCGTCGACCCCTGCAGGATTCGCGCGGGATTCCATGAACATCTGATCGTTCTCCTTGTGGAACGTCATAATGTGCCCGTGATACTTGTATCGCGCCGAATCATCAGAATTGACACGAGACGCATGTTGCACGTCGTCGTCATTCTTGGTAGAATTTTCACGCAAGTTGTACAGTATCGGCTGCATTTCGTCGTCTCGGTCTTTCGTGGAGTTTACGAGATCATACCGCGTCGTCTGGTTGCCCCTCCGCTCGTTGTCGTTCGTAGAATATCCCAGGGAGTCCGAGGACGAAGCACCAAGCAGAAACACGTAGCACCAAAATACGATACTTGACCGACACATCTTTTAACTGTTGAGCTCACGTGTCGAATTCACAAAACAAACTGGTTTCTCTTTATACCTGTATACAAGTATGAGTATCCGGAGCGACACTGTCAATTAACAGATTTAATTTAGCAGCGGTTTTGTCTGAAAAGCAAAGGATGAGTCTATTCTTGGAATGAGCTCGCGAATGCATGAAAACTGATTGTGCTGATTGGAAGGCACCTCGATAAGGCAGGTCCTCGGCCATAAATAATTTCAGATGTACGTAAAATGTGTGAAACAATTTATAAAAATCGTATGAGAGATTATTGCTAGTGAGGAGTCAATTATAAGCGGAAGACACCAAGATCTTATACGTACAAAGATCGAATTATGTAGAGTGGTCTTATCCCAGAATAACGCAGTTTTCTTCATTTATCAGTAACGGATTTATTAAATAAATCTACGTCATACTACAGAAATATTATTGCGATGCACGGGATGTCAGAGGTTCATTCTTACGACATCGGATTGGATTATCATGCAACACGACATGCAGTATTCGCGCATGGCGATAAGCCGAGCAGATTCCTCACATGTTAGGAGAATAGCAAACCCTGTAGACGACGTGCGTGCCGGCCAGGAACGCGGAGTGAATTCAACGCGAGTGCAAGACGTCTTTAACATTGTTCCCCCCATGAAAAAGTACATATCCCAAAATATATTATATAATATATCAATACTTATACGTTAAGACATATAAACGTATATATAAAATATAAGAATGCACATAACTAATTAAATCACTTTTTGCCACCTATGATATAGAAGAAATATATAAGAAAATACTATATATTTTAACACATGAATCCTTCGTATGTTCTTAACATTTCCGTATTCTTCAGAACGACACTTTCGTCCTGTATACGTCATTGGAATAGATTAAGAGAGAGATAAATGGGAGATGCTAAGAACTTTGAATGTTAAAGATGCCGAAGAGAAGAATTTAAACTGCTAAAGAGCTCGTTTGATCTTATATGTTAAGAAGGTATAGAGGTTTAATAAACACTCTTCGTCGCTCGATATAACATGCGTTAACCCTTTGCACTCCTATGCCGAGTGTGACTCGACATCAGTTTTTATCTCAGGAGCTACTTTGTCGAGTCTCACTCGACATTTTTTCAAGTCCAAACCAATAGATGAAATATAATTCGGAGTGCAAAGGATTAATGTTAGGTCAATCTTATAATCCACAAACAATTACGTATTTATTCGTTTCTCACGCCTTCCATAATCGTTCGCGATGGAAACTTCGAAGTAATAACACAGCGACATGCAGAGTCTTCCGGGATTAGCATTGTCGAAGGTCATTGCTTACAAGTACAGAGTTCGGCCGAGCGAAAGCAAACAGTGTTAATTCTCGATTACGCAGAAAATTTGCAAGTCACAGGTTAAGCTGGTTATAAATAAACAAGTCAAAACTATGATTGGATTGCTAATTGTTAATGTCGCCGCTTATTTTTATACCGTCGTACTCATTAATTAATGATAGTTGTTAACTGCGATTACAATAAATGTATAATCTATCAAGTTTATAAGCATTAAGGAAAATAAATGCTCTTGCAAATGTTCTCTAATAGCCGATTAGTTAATGCTTATTTGTATTTGAGAATGTTATTGGAAAATTTATCATGTTAAACAATTCTATAGTATAATTGCATGATCGTCTGATGATTTTTATCTTAATAACCGGTTTGAATTAAAGGAAATTCACAAGAATTTCTATCTTTCCTGTTTTGCTTATTCATACATACATATATCCACACATATGGTACATACATACATACATATATTTATATAAACACAAGATTTCTAGATACGTTGTAGCAAATGTAGAAACGATTATGATGTAACAATTGCCGTAAAAGTTAAAAAAATATAAATGGTACCTTTTAATAGAGAGAAAAAAAATATATGTATGATAAATGACACGGATAATACACGATTATTATTTAATAAACTACGTAAAAGAGACTTCTATTTAATGAGTATCACCTTATTGACGCATGTAATATAATTATACATTTATTAAGAATAAAAGTATAAAAAAGTTTAGTTATCACACATTTTTTCCGACAAAAACGTGAAGAAATCTGAATCAAAAACAGTACTGTCATGTGTAACGATTATAATTAATTTTAAGTTAAACATGACGATGGATAAGAAGGCAAGATCAACACTATATTCGATTCCGCGATTCACTTCCCGCAAACGAACAGCGCACGAATATACACTGGCAAGCACCGAGACATGACTATTAGACAATGAGGAATGGGCGGCGTTAAGAAACGTAGTCAGCCTCATTGGAAATTCACGTATATATGGTGTTCCAAAGAAAAAAGCTACCGACAAACCTTTAAAGTAGTAGTTCAAACAGATTCAGATCCACAAACAATTTACGTAAATATAAAGAAACTTGGTTATTAATATTTTTAATTTAATGAAGATACACTTTTTAAATTTATTACATTTTGATCTAAGAGTTATAAGTATTTAAAGTAATAATCCACTTTGTCAATTATAACTTAAAAACAAGTAGCGGCGTTGCTTCACTTGAAATCACTATACAAGTCGTCATCATAATAATATTGTAGATTAATGAGTTCTTAAGAATATGGTTATAAAATTCTGCCTTTATATAAGACATGTCACCTGTAAGAAATAGTTATAAATTATAATGTTTAATTTGTAAAATGCAAATATTAATAGTAAAATATGGAGAAATTTGAAATAATTTATAATACCGAAGCATAAAAAAATTCCTCACTTGTATAATAAAATTACGTCGATATTAAAACGGATATTATTTTGTTTATACAAGGAGAAATTAACGTGTGACAATAGAACATTTAATTGCACGCTGACGTATACATCTTTTATCTTTTTTCGATAGAGTACGGTACAATATAAAAAACTTAAATTCGACATTATATCAGCGAAGCAATCAAAGAACAGTAGCCAAGGACGCACGAAATAAAATTTTTATATATTGTTTATAAAATACTAGAAGGCAATCCAAGTTAGTTCTTTTGTAAATATAAAACAATATGTTATAATCGAGTAAATGGTGGAACATTCTAACGTGTAAATTTGTAATTTAGTTTTAAATACGTTTTATGTTTTATATTAAACACTTGTAAACCTATTACTACGTTCACAGTCAAAGCAAACCAAAATTTTTAAAACATTACTTACTGTGTATTTCTACTAAATTAAGTATTTCATGTTATTGATCGGGCGGAATATCCTCATCGGGTCGCATATCTGGCCACTCGTTAGGTTGATTATGTTGAGGAGGTCGCCTACTAAAATTTAGATTCAAATAGATTCACAAAATTTCTATAGTACCTAATAATTAATTAAAATGTATACGTATTTGTATAATTTATATGTTAACATACGCTTAGATATATATAGATCATTTGATGATATTATGAATTAATCGGGGAAGAGGAACATAAATGCGCTCAACGAAAAAAATATCTGTCTGTGTAATATTAATTACACAATTAATATCCGAAAACATTTAAGAACTTTTTATATGCATACACATTTTACAAGATGATATTATTATATAATAAAATTTTATAATTGTTACTGTACCATTTTCGATTTTTTTTTGTAACACACGTGCCATACAATTACAAACTAATCATACATAAAGTGATTTTAAAATTATTAGTATATGTGTTAAAAAATTTCAACTTACTTTGTCGTGTGATATAATATAGTGAGGAATAATAATATTAGGCACCATACTATGAAACAGGAGAAATATATTATGGAAAAGAATTTTGAATCTACAGGG